AAGGTCATAGTCAAAGTGGAAGTTCTCTCCTCCCTTCAGAGAAAGGTACCTCCTTCTTTGATGGCAGATTTGTCCAGTTTTATAAATGCTCTGCTACTCTGAGCTTATGCTAAAATTCTCAGTGTAAGTAACCTAAGGATTAACTTCTCTGTGATTGATAAGACACAGTGGGGTTGAAATATGAGCCCCCAAAGAAGGATGGGTTTGTACCCCCAAATTTTCACACTGATATTACAAAGGATGAGAGTCCTATTGGCTTATAAGCCAAAAGATCTTCTACAGTTAACACTAAGGATCAATCATCTTGACCTCTACTTATTACAAGAGAACTTAATGTTCTTTTCATTAAGCATGAAATTGTAGGGAAATATAACAGTGATAGAAGCCAGAAAATGCTCTCCACCTCTCTGAGTTATATTAGACATCCCACAATGGTTGTCTAAATCATCACAGTATAAACAAGATCATAGCAATGCTACACAAGGCCAATAGTGACTCAAAAAGAGCATCCTACTTCAGCAATCTGATTACTAGCAATTTTATTAATTAGAAATGAAAATGCTTCCCAATAATTCATAAATTGTTTAACAAGAAATGAGCTTAAAATCAACTATATTGAAATTACTTATTTGCTTTATAGCCTCAAAATTGGGAACAGAGAAAAGATATGTGTGATGGCATATGTCATAAAGCTTTTAACACATTTGAAACATTTTCCAAAGAGAAAAATTATCTCTTTAATTAATTATTTAATAATTTTAATTAGTTAAAATTATCTGTTTGCTTATGAACATAGTTATTAACTTAAAGGTTCATTCTTCCAAGAATACTATTTTTTTCCTTTTTTTTTTTTTTTTTTTTTTTTTGACAGGCAGAGTGGACAGTGAGAGAGAGAGACAGAGAGAAAGGTCTTCCTTTGCCATTGGTTCACCCTCCAATGGCTGCCGCGGCCGGCACACTGCAGCCAGCACACCACGCTGATCCAAAGCCAGGAGCCAGGTGCTTCTCCTGGTCTCCCATGCGGGTGCAGGGCCCAAGGACTTGTGCCATTCTCCACTGCACTCTCGGGCCATAGCAGAGAGCTGGCCTGGAAGAGGGGCAACGAGGACAGAATCTGGTGCCCTAACTGGGACTAGAACCCGGTGTGCCGGTGCCACAGGCGGAGGATTAGCCTAGTGAGCTGCGGCGCTGGCTCCAAGAATACTATTAATACTGTTAACCACTAAGCTCCTGCACTGTGGTACAAATTCTATAAATCAACAAAATCTGCAATGGTTGACGACAAAATCATCTGTGTGGATTCTCTTAAAATATTCCTTTGGAAGGATGACAATACAGAAGGATTACTTGTGGGCAGATGACTTCTCCTTCCTGCCTTTGGAAGTTTTCACCTCAGTGGGCAACAGGTTGACAGTTATGTGATAACTGCTTTTGTTTATAGCGCAATATCTGCTAACCTAAATCCTTGTTTCCTTGGAGAACATATTGACTTCCTGGAATCTCCCAGGCAAATTTAAGCTTTGTAGTCATTTAAGGAAGAAAAAGATCCTACCTGAGATCTGCCATTTGACTGTATTAAGGCAAAGAAAAGAGTATTCCTAATCACGGACACAGTTCCTCTGACACATGCACTACATGTTTGTATATAATGTCTAATATTAATAATATAATTTATATGTAATTCTTTCTTATTCTTATATATGTTTTTATACTGGAAGCCTAAATATTTCCTCATCAAACTCTTCCCTCAGTATTGGGGATTTTAAATCTATTATCTCCTTATTATCTTCTGCTTACGAGAACAGACATTCTCAATGGACTCCAACTACATTTAGAATAAAGCAAAATCCACAATCATTATCATAACCCACTAATCTAAAAGTCAGAACTTTTCCCACCTCTGATGTTATCACTAATAATTCAGCCCTCCAGACTACAGGTCTCCCTTCTAAACCACCACTGTAGCAACTCCTGACCCACCTCACAGCCCTTGCTCCAATCCCCTTGGCTTACAGCACTCATCTTTTCCTTCTAATTCTTCAGGTCTCAGCTCAAAGGCCACTGCTACAAAGAAATCGTCGTTGATGTTCCTTGATCAAAGACCTGCTCCCCATCATTCCTGGCAGTTAGCACAATTTGTAATTAACTTATTTATTGAATTAGCCCCACTAGAATGAAAACTTTATGAGGTCAGGGATGTACCCTGTTATATCTACCATCATATCCATAACACCTAGAATAGGGTGTGACAGTGCAATAAAAATCCAATAAAGATGTAATGAATTAATAATTGTAGAAAACTGAAGCTATATGTCTCAGTAAAGAATAATATGAAATGGCCAAACACAAGAAAGACTCACAGCCCTACAACAATTCTTATTGTGAGTACATTCTCTTCCAGTCTTTTCTATATGTGTTTTTCATAGTTGAACTCAACTCATAGACACAATTTTAAAATCTGCTTTTCTGCTCTTTTGGCATTAAATCATGAACTTTATAATATCTGCTTTAAAATCATCTAGTGTAATTTATAAACCCATCATCAATGTAAAGGGACAATATATAGCATTTTCTTATATTTAGGCACTTCAGTTTTTGCAGTTAAATAATACCACAGTGATTATGGATTAAACTTTATATAAATTTCATTTCTTAACTATATTCTCAAAAATGGAATTAAACCACCATTGATATTGTCTACCAAATTTACAGAAAAGTTGTGGTAATTAAGATCTGTTGGCACTGTTAGAAGGTACCCATTTAACAATACACTTTTCAGTATTAGATATTCTTATTTAAATCTTAGTAATACAGCAGATAAAATTTGTATCTGATTTTAATTCGTATTTCCTTACTAATGGAGTTGAACTTTTTTTCCAAAAATATTCCATCTGGACTTCCTCCTCAAATGAATTTTTGTCTGTACTATTTATCATTTAGTTGAATCTTAAAGTACAGTATGGTACAAATTCTATAAGCTCTTTTTTTAAAGAGATTTTTTTAATGAAGTAAACTTAGAAATTCTTTGCCATTGGGTTACATATAACTTGTCCCACATTCATGTGGATTGGCTTTTTCATAACATATTATCTATGCTGTTTTTGAAAAAAAAATGGTATTTGCCCTTTATGAAAAAGTTATCAAACAATAAAGAGAACACAAAGCAGAAAGAAAAATGAAACAAACACCCAGATTTCACATCACAAAAACCACTACTGTTGACAGCCTCTCCAAATATTTCTCTATGGAATTTTACATACAGATATTTATAGTGATGGTCTCATTAAAATCTTAGTGATATGATAGATATAAATGGTAACAATTTCTCCACAACTTTTTCCTGTGTCTTAAACTTTGCAAATACTCATCAGATACTTCCTAAATAGTCAATTTTATTTTTGCCATATATTATTTAATGGCTTTTATACACTTTACCGCCTAAATTTATATTGAATTTGTATATAATGAGTAATGGACAGATCTCTTCAGCAGGTGGTAAATGAAGGATTTTACTGTAGGTCTACAGAAACTAAAAGGTTTTTTTAATCATTACTTAAAGTATTTTACTGCATGCCAAATACTGGGATAAGAATTAAGGAAGGGAGGCAGGGCGGGGCAAGGAAAGGCAAGCCTTCAAGAAACTCTGCCCTGTAGGTTAAAGGATGTTAGGACAGTGTGGTAAACAGAACCAGGGTATACAGGACGCCCTGGGACACAGAGGGCACAGCTTTAGGAGATGAGGAGAGCGTGGGGGTGGCAGGCATCTTTGAGGTGAGTCACGAGGCGCACACCTGTTCTGAGCAGCCAGGTCCTTCATGTCCCAGCCCAAGCCCACCTTCTCAGCAGTCCTCTACTAGCTGCTGTGTGGAAACCTTCACTAACCTGCCCCCACCCCCACCCCGCGCGCGCACGCAAGCTCCGTCCCCACCACCAGCCCACCACAAGGAGCCTCAGGAGTGCTCTGTGCCGAGGACCCCTGCGTTGTGCCTTCGCTGCGCTTGGAGCTGGGACTCAGAGCCCTCCTGGTAACAGCGGAGGGGACTTCCGCCTCCTCTCCATTTTGCGGACCCTCCCTGGGGTCACCTGGCCGCCCAGGCAGGCTTCCAGCCTGGCTTTGGTATGAGTGAACTCTGGACCGCCACAGCTGCTGGCTGGGCTTCGCCACCTGCAGGGGGTAGGGGGTGGGGTTGTCGCACAACTTGAAGTCCCAAGTGCTCTGGTGAGCGCCTCCGGGTGCACCCGGGTACCACCTAGTGGCAGCAGGGATAGGGTGCCAGCTACTTTTTACACAATGACCTCACCCAGATCAGACTGCTCTACTATTTTTAAAGCTCATGCCTCCTTCAAATAAATAAAACTTTTGACTCCTTCGATTTGCTGTCATTGAAAATTTCAGAATAAAATGTATTGTCTGCAAACAAACAGCAGCAATGACACTTTGAATGTTCTTTTTCGTTTGGCAAAATGGCCCTTGAAGATCTCTGTCCCAGCCTGGGAGATTCCTTGTTTGCACTGAAAAATTCCAACCATGCTATATATATATATATATATATATCAACCATTATATATATATATCAATAATTAAGTCCTTAATACTTATTAAAAAATTCATTTAGGTTTATATTCAATAGGATCAGGCCAATGTTGTAATGCAGCAGGTTAGGGCACTGCCTTCGATGCTGGCATCCCATATAACAGCACTAGTTCAAGTCCTCCATCTAGCTCCCTGAAAATTCACCTGAGAAAGTAGCAGAAGTAGCACAAGATAGCCCAAGTACTTGCAAGCCCCAGCTGCCCATGTGGGAGACCCAGATGGAGTCCCTGGCTCCTGGCTTCGGCCTTGCCTAGGCCTCGCTGTTACAGCCATTTGGGAGTGAACTAGGAGACGGAAGGTCTCTCTCTGTCACTGTGCCCTTCAAACACATAAAATAAATTCTCTAAAAAAACATAATCAATAGACTCTAAGCAGCTATTATACTTACGGTCACATAAAATCATACCTGATAGTGCCAGTAACCAGATGTAGGGGTTTCTTTGACAAGTAAAATTTCAAAAATATTCTGCGGAGTCATCTAAGGGTAACAACAAAGTTTTGTCTAGCTAAGGAAGAACATTAAAAATCAACATTAGAGGCCAGCGCCGTGGCTCACTTGGTTAATCCTCCACCTGCAGTGCTGCCATCTCACATGGGCACCGGGTTCTAGTCTCAGTTCCTCCTCTTCCAGTCCAGCTCTCTGCTGTGGCCCAGGAAGGCAGTGGAGGATGGCCCAAGTGCTTGGGTCCTGCACCCACATGGGAGACCAAGAGGAAGCACCTGGCTCCTGGCTTCGGATCGGTGCAGCGCCAGCCATTGCAGCCATTTGGGGAGTGAACCAACAGAAGGAAGACCTTTCTCTCTGTCTCTTCTCTCATTGTCTAACTCTATCTATCAAATAAAAAAAAATCGACAGCAAAGTGGCAGGCATCATAGCACAGCAGGTTAAGCCACTGTCTGCAATGTCAGCATCCCATATGGGCACCTATTCAGGTCCTAGCTGTGCCACTTCTGATCCAGCTCCTGGCTAATGTGCCTGAGAAAAAAGCCAAAAGGAGGTGCAAGTGCTTGGGTCCCTGCCACCAGAAGATCCTGGCTCCCGGCTTCAGCCTGGCCCAGCCTCGGACGTTTCTGCCATTTGGGAAGTGAACCAGCAGATAAAAGATCTTTCCCTCCCTCTCTCTGTCACTCTGGCTTTCAAATAATTAAACAAAGCTTTTTTATATATAAAAACTACAATAATAATAAAACACCCTCTGTGACCATCATTTCAAAAAACAAGCTAATCAGCTTGTTTTATTTATTCTACATGGTATCCACAATACCAAACATCACAGTGCACCCCATAAATATGGCAATTAAAAACAATGTTAATTTCAAAAATTAAACATTGAAGCTCACGTGAAAGAACAGACAGTATGAAAGAAAGGGAGAAGGGAAGGAGAGCAGCAGGCAGGCAGGAAGGGTATTATTACAACACAGTCAAGTAAGGAAAGATATACTTGTGTATTTCAGAATTAAGAACTGACTTAAAAAATAAAAGATATCTTTTTAAAATTTCAAAATGTTGAAAAACATAATTTTGATTTGTGATGTTACATTTCTGTGTCCTTTTCTAAATAAATTGAGAATCTATGATTGACTGTGTATCAGAGGGTGAAACCTGAGTGCCCAACCTGCTTTTGTTCCAACCCATGTTTTGTTCACAATCAATGACCACACTCCACGTAGGAAAGCTATCTCAAATTGAAGTGGTAATCTTCTATAGCACTGTTACAGTCAATATAGAATATTCTGTAAAACTGAAAAAAAAAAAGGCTGAATAGTAATAGCCACTCACTCTAAACTTCACTGAAAGCTACTAGTGGCATCAGGTGTCTAACACAGGAATTCTTTGCTCAGGAGACAAGGTTGCTGGTTTTCCTGGCTCAGCTGGCTCAGCCCAGGCAGATGTTCATCTACCAGAAATTCGTCTGGCAATGCCTCCATCAGAACTGGGGCACAGACCTTAACACTGTATTTCATAAGCATATGCATTTAGGCCTATGTTACAGAACCTAGAGGGCATTATACATTTTAAAATGAATTACCGGCCCATGTTTAATACCTTGTTCAACAAATTTGATCTATTTGATGATAACCTCTAGATCTGGAATACATCTTACAATCTGAACACTGTTCCCCTGAGAATTGATTACCATTTTATAACTACCTCCTGAAGGATACAACTTCCAGCAACATCTTACAGGGATGAGCAGGGATTGCTACTCTGCTTCAGGGAGAAGGGAAACTGTGTAAAAAAGACAGCCGCACAGGCATCCTGATCCAGCCCAAGGCCAAGTTAGGAGGCCTGGGGCTCTAATCCTAGTTCTGCTAACATATTCTTTGAGGCTTGTGTCAAATGGACTTTCCAAGAAGTTATTGAATTAGGTAATTTCTAATGTCCACTCCGACTCTAAACTTCTGTGACCTGAACAGTGGAGTACATCAACAGCCACCATGCAGTATCACAAAGAGCAACTGATGGACTCCATATGCAGAGAACCAAGAAATTGTTGTCCTAGAATCTCAGTTCAGGAAGGAAACTATTCAGGAGAGTAATTTGACACAGGCTGCAGTGAATAACCAGAAGGCATAATTTGGAGGTCTGTGAAATCATAGAATTCTGGTTGAGCATTTTGATCTCCTCAGAAGTGGAGAAGATAGAAACCAAACATGACAAGATCACACAGAGTTCAGTGATAAAAGGAGAAAACAGGAGAACAAGGCACATTCCATCTGAGAGGGTGCTATTAAAAAAGTTCATGGGAAATACATATGATCAGAAAATGAATGCATGAAATGAATCAAAACGTTTTCACATCAAAATAAACTTACCTTTCAATTCCATTTTCCATGAACTTTTGTATACCCTTGTATTTAAGAAAGATGGTTTAAAACACAAAACATTAATAATAAAAACATTAAGGTTTTAAAAGCTAGAAAAGCTCAGTTATGTTTAATGGAAGTAATTTTTTAAAAATCAGTAAAGAAAGAAGTAAAAACCAGTAATTAGTGCAATAGAGGAATAAAAAGAATGCACAGGAAAGTTCAGATCTTTCTCAATGAAAGAATGTTTCGAATAAGAGTAATAAACCAATCTGAAAGTTCAAGTCCCAAGAGTTTTCCAGGGCTTACTTGTCTGAAATTTTTATCACACTCCACAGTTATACATTTATATGATCAGATATGGTAAAGAATAAACAACTTTCATTCTAGGAATAAAAGGAAGCTGAAAAGTAACAAGCTGATATAGCTCAAAAATTGTTGAAATCTTTACTTAGTATAGAGTTGGTCTTTTGTGTACAGAGTTCATTGAAAATGAACCATAATGGAGAATGGGACTGGCAAGGGGAGAGGGAAGGAGGAGGGATGGAAGTGAGGGAGGGAGGGCTGCTATGGTGGGAAGAATAACTATATTCCTAAAGTTGTACTTACAAAATTTGTATTCCTTAAAAATAAATTAAAAAATAAAATGGCAAGTTGGGATTTGAAAGAGAAAGAGGAGGGCAACTGTTTCAAAAGGAAAATTTTTTGTTTGTTTAACGACTGATTCCAACCATGTCTCTTTCCAACACTGATGCCAAAGCTCAAAGACTTGGCTTGATGGCATGAAGAGCTCATATTGTCCAAAGCAAAACAATGCAGTGTCACCTGCCTGCCTCTCTTCAAAGAAGATGAGTGGGAATAGGAGCTGATGACTGGGAGATGAAATTTTTAAATCCAAATATTTTAAAATATGTGTAATTCTCAGACTTCTAGGGGTTATCATAACTGCTTTAGGAGGTGGGTCCCATGGCTTCTCCTTTTCTCCCATTTCCTTTTCTCTATCAAAGCATTCTTGAATAGAATGGCTGCTGCCCTCTTTTATGCAGCTAGACAAATATATTTCAAGACATGAAAGTGAATAAATAAAAGAATTAGAAGGCTTCTGAGAAGTCCCAAAGAATTCATATTCACCAGAACAAAAGCAAAGTCTAAAGAAGTTCAGCCCTGAGTTTAGCTGCTTCCTTTTGTGATAAGCCAGCATAAAGCAAAACAACAAACTGTAACAAAGAAACAAGCGAGAACCTTATCTCTTAGCTGTGTTCATCCGAGTTTAAAATTGCTGCAATTCAGCAAGAGGTAGTAAAAAAAAAAAAAAAAAAAAAAAAAAGTAGTTGAAATCCTGGCCACTCCTAGACCAGCTGTATGGCCTGAGAGGTTACTACAGTTCTCCCAATCCATGTGCATAGTGATGAAGCAGGGATAATAGTTCCTACTTTACAGAGTTGTTATGAAGATTAAAGTAGATATTCTAGATAATACTTTTAGCAAACTACAGATTTTTAAAAGATAAAAATTAAGCTCCAGCTATTACATGTTCTAAGCAATCCACAGCTCAACATTCAAGGTCCAAACCACACTCCTTATAAATTACTTTCAGGGTTCTGACAACTCTTCCTGGTTTCATTAGCTTTTTGCTTGGTAGTGACGCTGCCACACTGAGATGACGAAATCAGCAGCTCCAACACAGAAATCCTTGTTAAAGAGAAGAAAATGGGCAACACAGAAATTCTTGTTAAAGAGAAGAAAATCAAAGGATATAAGTATCTGTAATATTAACTCTCATATCAGTTACTAAAATAATATTTTTCCTTTCTTAATCAATTATTTCTTGCCTCTGACAAATATTTCAATAGAAAAATGAACAAAGTGGTAGAACAGAGAAAAAAACTATAAATATGAAAAGGTTAATCACACTAATAATCAAAACAGAAAACTAACACATACAAAGACATCATTTTCATTTGCCAAATTGCAAATGATTTTATATATCACCCAGAAGTGTTGTGAGGGCAGGGTGATGGATGAAATTACATTTCCATGCACAGCAGAGTACCAACTGGTACAAAGTAGTAAATATTTCTTAATTGAGAGGGAAATGGAGGATGGAGAGGGAGAAAGAGATGAAAAGAGGGAAGGAGGGAGGGATGGAAGGAGGAATAGAGGGAGGGAAGGAGGGATAGAAGGAGGGAAGGAGGGATAGAGAGAGGGAGAAAGGGAGAGAGGTAAGGGCAGAAAGGCAGGAGGGCAGTGCCAGCCAGATAGAAAGAGCCCCCACCTACTGGTTCACTGCCCAAATGGCTGCAATAGTCAAGGCTGGGCTGGGACTAAAATCTGGAACAGGGAACTCTATCCAGGTCTCCAATATGGATGGCACGGATCTAATTACTTGAGCCATTACCAGTGCACGCCAGGGTTCACATTAACAGGGAGCTGGAGTCAGAAGCTGCAGGGGGAAACAAACCCAGGTACTTATATGGGCTGCAGACATCCTAACCGCTATGTTAAATGCCTGCTCCCAGTAAAACTTCTACGAGAAAAATGCAAGGTCAGCATTGTGGGGCAGTGGGTTAAGATCCTACCTGCAATGCCAGACCCCATATCAGAGGGCAGGGTCGGGTTCCAGCTGCTACTTTCCATCCACTGCCCTGCTAATGCATCTGGGAAAGCAACAGCAGATAGACTAAGTGCTTTCACCCCTGCACCTGGTTGGAGCTCTTCAGTCCTGGCTTATGTATTTAATTATTTCAAATAAATAATCTTTTTTAAAAAGAGAATAATACAAAATATGTGTCCAAAAATATTTACAATCTTTGTGATTGTATTTCTGCTCCTTTAGATGAAAAAAATTCACAGTTTATGTAAAAACTCATTGCAAAGGTATAACCCAGAAAGGTAAAAAACAGAAATAGGTTAACACTACCAATATCAAAATACTTAAATAAAATCTGACAACATATATGATTACCTAATGTGTTACTTTTTAGAAGTATTTAGTATGGAACTTTGTCACTCTATATATTACATGAAAAGTAGAATCATAAAACAAACAGGATATGATTTCATTTTATATATATGCATGTATATATATATATGTATATATATATACACACATATATATATGTTTTGGGATAAAGATTAGAAGGAAATACACCAAATTATTAATAGTGGCTCTCTCTGAGGTATGGAACTAAGATGAGTTCTACATTTCTCAACAGTTCCTCTTATTTTCTAGAATTAATACATAATAATGATATAATCAGGAATGAATATTATTATTTTGTTAAACTCATTTCTTGCTCTGTCAAACTATTTAGTTCACAGAGAATGGTTATCATGGACATATCTTCATTCAACAATCTTCCAAGACCTTTGTTTATTCATTTGATTATTTGAAAGGCAGAAAGAGAGAGAGACAGATAACATGAGAGAGTGCTCATATCCACTGGGTCACTCCCCCAACACCCACAATGGGAGGCTGCAGGATTGGGGCTGGGCTAGCTGAAGCCAGGCCAGGTACTCAAACCAGGTCTCCCTCATCAGAGACAAGAATCTGAAAATCGTGGACTGAAAATAAGCCAGCATGTTGAAAAGCAGGGCTGCCCCTGAAATTCATATTGTGAAGATAACCAAGTGATTCCCATTCTATATAGAAATGTAGTGGATCTCTACAGGGGACCCAGATCAACAGACTGGCCTAGCCAGATGAGCTCCCCATAACTTCTCCTCTCATTTTAAACTCTCTTGGGAGAGGGTTGGAACAGACATAGTGACTTTCCTTGACTGTAGAAAATTAATCAAGAAAATGCTGACTGCCCACTATGCGCATGCTAGTGTACTGAACACGGGCTACCTCTGAATCGACTCAGCAAGATGAGGTTTGCTAACACATTAATGAGCCTGTGTAGAGATTGCAGATGCAAGCAAAATTCTCTACAAACAAGCTTAATGCTGTAGTAAACTGAGAAAAGGAACTCAAGTAGCCCAAAAGTAGGTGATAAATGGCCTTTTCAAGTTGAACCAAATGTTGTCACCTAAAAAAGCAGGTGAGCAAAGTTGCATTTATTGCGTGCTTTATCTCTGTAGGAACAATATCCCTCAACCGCAATCCCTGTGCCATGAGGAGTCACTATCCCATATTCAGGACTTCAACATAACCTAATTAATCCTAATTTGATTTTATTGATATCTACTTCATGGGATTTTACAGAATGAAGATGATACATGCAAAAAAGAAATTTAACATGAAGGTCAGCGCTGTGGTGTAGCAGGCTAAGTCTGCACCCAGTAGGAGACCCGGAAGAAGCTCCTGGCTCCTGGCTTCAGATGGGTGCAGCTCGGCTGTTGCGGCCATCTGAGGAGTGAACCAGCGGATAGAAGACCTCTCTCTCTCTCTCTCTCTCTCTCTCTCCCTCCCTCTGCCTCTGCCTCTGCCTCTGCCTCTGCCTCTGCCTCTCTATAACTCTTCCTTTCAAATAAATAAATAAATCTTTAAAAAAGTTATCTCAAAAATTAAATAAAATATTGTTAAAATGTTTGAATTTTTTTAATAAATGCACACAAAAAAAAGTATAGGAAGAATTAAAATGGCCACATCAACTCAGTCTTACTTCCATGAGACACCCACTTTTAACTATTTTTCTTGTTATTCTTTAAGACATACCACCCTATCTTAGGGCAGTAACACTAAAAATACGCTAATGTTACTGATTAACCAGTTTGAAACATTATCTGATATCTTCCTGATTCATATGAAACATTTGACTTTACATACACACTCTCCAATTTCGAAAGGAGAGGCAGATTTATTGAGATGTAATTTACATACTGTAACTTCTAGTCCTTTTAGTGTATACTTTCACGAGATTTGACAATTGCAGTTCCATCACCCCTCCCCACAAATTGCCTCATACTCTTTTTAGATACTTTTCCTCTTCACCCAACTGCTGGCAAGCAACGTTTTCTATTCCAATACTTTTGCCTACTCCAGAATAGCAAAGCAATGTATTCCTTTGAGTGAAGTTTCTTTCATT